TTTAAAGAAAAAGGGGAAGGGCCAGTTGGCAGGGGAAGAGACAAGTCAGGAGTCAGGCATTGGGGGTGATAAGAGAGAAGTTTGTAGAGGGAAGAAGTAGGAAGCGTGCCATGGATTTAGCAAGGATTTGGGGAAGACGGGACCAGGGACAGAGAGAAACGTGAAGCTGCAATAAAATTAATAGAGCCCTAACCGGTGTGGCTCAGTGGGTAGAGCGTCGGCCTGCGGACTGAAAGGTCCCAGGTTCGATTCCGGTCAAGGGCATGGACCTGGGTTGCGGGCGCATCCCCAGTAGGGGGCGTGCAGGAGGCCGCTGATCGATGTTTCTCTCCTCGATGTTTCTAACTCTCTATCCCTCTCCCTACCTCTCTGTAAAAAAATCAATAAAATATATTGAGCCGAACCGGTTTGGCTCAGTGGATAGAGCATCGGCCTGCGAACTCAAAGGTCCCAGATTCGATTCCGGTCAAGGGCATGTACCTTGGTTGGGGGCACTTCCCCACTGGGGGGTGTGCAGGAGGCAGCTGGTCGATCTCTCTCATCGATGTTTCTGGCTCTCTATCTCTCTCCCTTCCTCTCTGTAAAAAATCAATAAAATATATTTAAAAAATAAATAAATAAATAAATAAATAAAATATATTGAATCTTTAAGATAAAAGTAAACTGTAATAAAAAAAAAAGAATTCCAAAACTGAAAAATAAATATTTTTTTTAAAAAAAATAATAAGTAAAATTAATAGAAAGTTACAAGTACTGCTGCTTTGGGCATCTGACACGGATGATTCACCCTCACATGCTCTGTGAGGTGGGGCGTTGTCCTTACCTCCACCTTCCAGATGGCTCGCTTGGCGGAGGCCACGGTAGGACCTGGCTAAGGCTGCACCATGAGTAAGTGCCGGAGCCAGGATTCAAACCCTGGCCGTGGCCCCTCGCTCCAGGGACCCCACCCAGGGCTGCCCCTCTGCAAAGCCCATATGCCATGCCTTGGGCTCAGTTAGACGGGCCACGGCCAAATAAACCGCTCCTGGTGGGGCAGCATGCAGTCTGTCTTCGGGATTCGGGGTCCCACACTCACTCCCCGAGCGCTGACAGCTGAGATGGAGGAAACACAGGAACCACCTGGCTTAGAAGCCACACGGTCCCATGGGCATCGCTTCCAGGTGCACAAACAAAACGTGCACGGGGACATCTCCACCAGCACAAGTCACCACAGCCAGAGCGCGGAAACGGCCGCATGCCCAGCAACCGAGGACCAGCTAAACAAAATGTGGTCCGTCCCGATAATGAGTGCCTTCCAGCCATAAAAAGAAATGAGGTGCTCACACAGGATATGGCATGGATGGGTCTTGAACACGCCATGCCAATCATAACATTAAAAAGAAGAAAAGAAAAAACCACGCCAAATGAAAGAAGCCAGCCACAAAAAGCCATTTAGTGTAGGATTCCATGGACGTGAACTGCCCAGAATAGCAAATCCATTGAGACAGAGGGCAGATGAGTCCTTACCAGGGTTTGGGCACAATGGGGAAGGGAGAGCGACTGCTTAGCAGTGGTTCTCAACCTTCCTAATGCCGCGACCCTTTAATACAGTTCCTCATGTTGTGGTGACCCCCAATTTCATTGTGACAAATTGAACATAACGAAAGCATAGTGATTCATCACAAAAACAACATGTAATTATATATGTGCTTTCCGATGGTCTTAGGCAACCCCTGTGAAAGGGTCGTTCGACCCCAAAGGCGTCGTGGCCCACAGGTTGAGAACCGCTGGCTTAATGGCTCCGGAGCTGTCTTTTGGGGGTGATGAAATGTTCGGGAAATAGACAGTGGTAATAGTTGCACCATATTTTGAATTTACTAAATGCCGCTAAACTGTACACTTTATATATATATATTTTTTTTTTTTTAAATATATTTTATTGATTTTTTACAGAGAGGAAGGGGAGAGAGATAGAGAGTTAGAAACATCGATGAGAGAGAAACATCCATCAGCTGCCTCCTGCACACCCCCTACCGGGTATGTGCCCACAACCAAGGCACATGCCCTTGACCGGAATCGAACCTGGGACCCCTGAGTCTGCAGGCCATCGCTCTATCCACTGAGCCAAACCGGCTAGGGCTGAATTGTACACTTTAAAATGGTTCAAATGTTGAGTGTGTTATGTGTCTGTTATGTTTATGTCTGTTTTCTACCTACACAGGAAAAGAATTAGCTGGTGGGGCGAAGGGGGGCAGGTGTCCCCCTCCCAGAGGACACTGGGCAAGGATCGCGCTCCTTGAGCTGCCTCCCAGACCCCTTTCCAAACCCTCCCCCTTCCCAGGCCTGGCTGGACACGCAGGACCGGTGCTTGGGTCACTATGTGAGTGGAAAGTGGTTAAAGCCGGGAAACAGGAAGTCAGCGCCTTGCCAGGATCCCATCACAGGTAGGAGGCGCCCCCTGGTCATCAGGGGAGGGAGCGGCACCCATGCCCCGGCCATTCCCACCACAGACACCCTAATGTCTGCTCAGGGCCTGATGTGGGGAGGAGGCTGAGGGTTTTGGCTCCTCCCGATCCTGGTTATTCTAATATGGTCCCAAGTCCCCGTCGACACTTTCCCGAGTCACCGTCTACTAAAGATCCCTCCCTTAGCTTTGCGCAGTGGCAGTATCATAGCCAATGAGGTTTGTCTGAGGCGCGATTATTGCTAAAAAAATAAAATAAAATAAAATCCCCTCCTTGCCTGCGGAGGCCCTCGGAGCAAGGACCAATGGATGTATCCCCATTTCTCAGATGACAGACCTGAGACCCCCAGCAGGGCCGGGGACCAGCTTTACTGCCCGCTCCCAGTCCCCGGAAATCTTAGCCCCCGCGGTTCTGACACAGTTTCCCCCTCTTCAATCTGGCTCCCCACCCCCCCTCTGTCTCTCCAGGAGAGAACTTGGCCACTTGCCTCCAGGCACAGGCTGAGGATGTGGCGGCAGCCGCGGAGGCAGCCAGGGCCGCGTTGGAGAACTGGAGCCGACTCCCCGGAGCCTCTCGGGCCAAGCACCTGACCAGGTGATGCAGTTGAGGTGTGGACCCCGGGAGCCGGGGAAGGACTGAGAACAAAGACCCCGGCTCCCAACATCCCACGGAATTCATTGGCCGCTAAGGTTCACGTTCCCAGCATGTCTTTTGGCCTTTAGTCCCATCTATGGGGGCTAGTAATGACAAACCCTCTATTTCCCCCCGAAAGAATATCCTTGGGGTTCATCGGGACTGGTGGGGCCCCAAAGTCCATTTCCCAGCACCCTCCTGGGGCAGCTAGAGACAGAGATTCCATTTCCCAAAATGTGTGAGGTTAGAGGTAAGCCCAGCATCTCCAGGGTTACAGGTGGCTAAGACCTTTGCACAGCAGCCTCAGGATTTGTTTCCTGGACTACATTTCCCATCAATCTCTAGTGTTCTCTACCCCTGGTAAAGGGGGATGTCCCAGGGGTTCATGGGGAATATTGTAGTCCAGGTAAATGGGGTGTGTTTCAGGCTGAGGGGCCCTGGGAAATGACGGGTCCCCTTGCTTTCTGCACAGGCTGGCCAAGATGATCCAGAAGCACCAGCGGCTGCTGTGGACCCTGGAGTCCCTGGTTACTGGGCGGGCTGTTCGAGAGGTTCGAGACAGGGATGTCCCGCTGGCCCAGCAGCTGCTCCAGTACCATGCAATCCAGGCACACATCCAGGAGGAGGCGCTGGCAGGCTGGGAGCCCATGGGTGAGAAGCAAGAGTCCGGGCCCCCAGCCCCCTCCTCCGTCAGGGCCCACCAGTGCCTGTCCCAGCCACCTCATTTGTTCTTGCAGGAGTAATTGGTCTCATCTTGCCGCCCACATTCTCCTTCCTGGAGATGATGTGGAGGATTTGCCCTGCCCTGGCTGTGGGTGAGTGATGGGCTGGGGGCCTGGACCCCTGGGTCTGAGGGAGGAGGGGGCGGGGGCCTGGACCCCTGGGGCTGAGGGGGAGGAGGGGCTGGGGGCCTGGA